TATCATTGTTATTCATTAGACAGTTTTAAATAAAAAAAATAGCATTATATGTGATAGCTATGTAGAGTCTATGTTGATGGATGTCACACTAGGTTGAAAATGCCCAGTTGTGGCTAGGTCGGTGGGCTAGACACCAATGAGGACACAGTTTATGATTAATATGCAATATTTATTTGGCTTTAACCTATAAAATATTGACAACTCAAGCAAAAGATTTCCTATATAATACTAATCTATGACAACATACAATAATCAAACAATCAAAGCTGAGGAGCGATGTCCATTGGGTCATGAGGTTTGGGTCAAGGCCCCTTGCTTTCAAAACCACGAGTGGTTCTGGTGTGGCTGGCCAGGCCCTAGTCTCAGACCTGGTCAATGGCTCATATTTCTTAAAAGGTCATTTAACAATCAAAACATAATCAATCAAAATAACTACAAACAGCTAAATGGGAAATTACGTCCGTTGAGTCACGGGGTTCAGATCAAGACCCCTTGCTTTCAAGATCGCGGACGACCTTGGTGTGGCTAGCCAAGACTCTAGACCAAGACTTGGTCAACAGCTCATGTCTCTAACAGGAAAGACAGACAAATACAAATATAAATGGCTACAGTCTTACATGCATGCTTACCACTACAGCAAACAAAAGGAGCAGCTTCATGGCTGGGAACATTAGTCTGTTCGCAGAGGCCTCAAGAATGACCCGAGGCAGTGCTCGGGGGGTGGGGTGACCCTGCGGGTGATCAGTCTGCGGGCTGTTTGACGCTTGAAGTTACGGTTCAAACTTCCCCCGTCAGGGCCTCGTGGCTCTACCCTTTTATACCCTTACTCTTTTTCACTTATTTTTACTGGCCAATTGTGTTACCTTCTTACCAGCATTCTGTTCACTCGTCAGTAGCCCCTTCCTCACTGCAGTCCCCTCACTGTTTTCTGCTTAGCCAGTTATGTTGTAATTTCCTTCCTGCTTCGATGGCAGTTCGATGCGGTTGACTTCCCTGCCTCGTGAGCGTGACAGGGGTCACCCGTCCAGAGGCTTGTGTTATGGCCTAGCATTCTGCCAATTCGGTGCGGCCTGGCCATTCATCTGGGGAGATGCCCGCGACAATAGAAAGTGAATTGAATAATCAGTAAAAATAAAAATAGATATAGCAAAATGAATTCATTGGTTTAAGACATCCTAGATTTTTACACATGAACAGTGATTCTGAATTAATTCTCCAACAACCTAGTGTTCTCCAGTCTAGCTTTATCTGTAGCAACAGCAGTTGAATGGATTGGAAAAGTATTTCAAGTTGTTTGTCAATCATTGCTCAACTAAGAAGTTGGTTTGAAATGAAGATAACATCATTTTATAAATAAGTCTGCCATGGGGAGGGGTCCTAGTAGCAGCTGTGATCTCTCCTAGGGCCCCCTACCGTGCCAAGTTGGTGTCCATGCATCCTCGTTCTCACCCACCACGTCTTTGATGTTAAGAGTATTAAGGGAGGCTGCCTTTTATCCTCCTTCACACAGTACCCCTGACGTATTCAACTCTGTGCCCCACTGTAAGAGGAGTATCAATATCAGAGCCTTTCTGGGAGTGGCTCCACCTTCCTGTAATGGGCCAACCGCCTGCTTGCTCGCCTGCCACACCTTGATCTTACTTGATTAGAAGATGGTTGTAATCAGTGGGAGGCTGCCCATTTTTCTCTGCCCCGGTGACAGGGGGCACTACCTGCGGCTCCTTTTCCGCCCCTACACCGCAGCTCAAGCCTCGCAGATGGAGTTGATGTGGTTTGACCTGGGCCTTGTTATGTTCTGGCCCTCCTCTTTACTCCCGGGGCTCCTCACTGCCCCCTCTCTCGCTCGCTCTGCAGCTCCTTGCTGCCCCCTCCCCTGGGGCTCCTCGCTGCCCCCTCTCTCAGGGCTCCTCGCTGCCCCCTTCTCTCTCGGGGCTCCTCGCTGCCCCCCTTCTCTCTCAGTCTCTCAGTTGCCCGCACCCTTGCGGGCACTCCCTGGGCTCGTCCCACTCTCGTGGCCCACACGGGGGCCTTTCTCCTTGCTCCCTGCCCACACTGCAGCCTAGCCTCACAATATGGGCTCAGGTGGCCGCAGCCGTGCCTGGCCTCCAAATCCCCTCCCTGGGGCTTCTATTCCAGTGCGCCCTCCCTGGGGCTTAATGCAAACACCCTCTGGGCTTCTCGTCGGTGCCCACTCTGGTGCTCCTCAGAATTGGGGCTCAGGTGGCCGTAGCCATGCCTGGCCCTTAAATCCCCTCCTTGGGTCTACAATTTCTAAACCGCTCAGGCGGCCTTGGCCTTACCTGGCCCTCCAATGCACTGTGCCCCCTTCTTAGGGCTCTGGGGTCAGTACACCCCTAGATGCGGTGCCTTCTCTGGCACCGGGGTCCCCACACCGCTGTGGAGCCCCTATGAGGCCTCCTCCAACCCCTACAGCCTCACCCGGTCCTCTGGTCAAAACAGTAAACATAAAGCCCCTGGGCTACAACATAAAAACTAGACCGTCCAGTCAAAAAAAAATCTACTCCCTACTAGAGTGAGGGAGCGGGGGGGAAGGAGGGCTCCCCAACCTCAGCAGTGACCGGGGGATGTGCTCACTGCCAGAGTCCTCCCCTCTGTCTATCCGAGCTGAGTCCCTACTCCCATAGCTGCTGGAGAGGGACTGCCCTCCTGGCCTCCTACCTGGGCTTAAGAAGGGATAAGCCCTGCCCCTTCCTGGTCAGCTGGTTTTACCAGTTGCCCCGGCAACCAGCACCTGTGCAGCCCTGGTGACTGGCAGCTGAGCCTCCCACTTTCTGCCACTAGGTGTCTCCCCAGAGCAGTCTCCGCTCTCAGGCGCAGGGCACCTGAGTGCACTGCGACACCCACCTACGGTAACTCTGTGCACTCACGCCTTAAGGGCAACATGTGGCTCCTACCACCCCTGATACCACGCCCCAAGCCTCGCAGATGTACTGGATGTTGTCTTGTCAAAATCCTACCTGTGCCCCCCGTGGGCACCCCTGGCTCTTCACGGGTTCCCTGGGCTCGTCTTCCCCTGGCCCAGGCCCTCACAGGTTCTGTGGCCTCTTTCTCCCTGGCCTGCACCCTCACGGACGCTCTCTGGCCTTTCCTTGCAGTTGCCCGCACTCCCCACAGACGCTCCCTGGCCTCTCTCGCGGCCGTCTTGCCTGCGCCCCCACGAGCGCTTCCTGGCTTCTCTTTTCTCTCAGATGCCTGCGTTGTCCGTGGCCGTGCCCGCACTGGGGCCTTCTCGTGACTGGGGCCTTCCCTCATGATCCTGCCTGCCCTGGGGCCCTGTCTCACAATTGGGACTCAGGTGGCCATAGCCGTGCCTGGCCCCCAAATTCCCCTCTTGGGTCTTAAACAAGTGCCCTCCCTGGGGCTCCACGCCTGTGCGCCCTCCCTGGGGCTCCGCGCCTGTGCACCCTCCTGGGGCTCCGCCCGCACTAGGGCCTTTGTCTGCGCTTGGGGCTCAGGTGGCCGTAGCCGTGCCTGGCCCCTAAATCCCCTCCTCGGGTCTACATCTCCTATGGGACTCAGGCGGCCTCGACCTTACCTGGTCCCCCAATGCACTGTGCCCCCTTCTGAGGGCTGGGGACAGTGCACCCCTAAAAGCTGTGCCCCCTCTGGCACCGGGGTCCCCACACCACTGTGGAGCCCCTATGATGCCTCCTCCAACCCTAACAACAACCAACAACATATAATAACATGAGCCAATCGGCTACAACTCAAACTAAGCCTCCTAGCTAAATGTAAACCTCTAAGCCACCTGGCTAGTCATCAATCAAATCCCTTCCAGGGCTTTCTCTTCCCAGTATCCCCGAGCCGAAGCTGCTCAGGCCATCAAGCTTCTCTAGGCTGCCTACTCTAGCAGAGCTCCTTCTCCCTTGGATGTTAGTGGGGAACTGCCTGCTTGGCCTCAGCCTGGGCTGTTTATATAGGCCAGGCCCTGCCCCCTTCTGGTCAGCTGACCAAACTACGGTTGCCCCGGCAACCAGCACCTGTACCTTTTCCTAGGAGCAGAGCACTTCAGTGCCCTGCGACACACCTCCCCCCTTAAGTTCATAACTCACTAGGAGCAGGGCACAGGAGTGTCCTGAGACAAGGTCATATGCTTTATAAAGAAGACAAGTATTTTTATAAAATCTTGAGCCCTTGACAAATCAGCCAGGTCTCTAGCTTTGCTACAGGACTTATCAGGGATCTGTATAATCTGTTCTCATGTCATTTAAGAGGTGGAATTCAATCTTTATTCTGTATATTCATTTGAACAGGTGGCAAAGATGTTTTTAAGTCATTTTAGAAATCCCTTCCCCTTTTGGCTGCCCAGTTCACTAGGTCTTGAATTTGTTTTTACAAGAATCTTCTAGAAAAGACATAAGCCAAATTTTTAATACCTAAACAAGCAGAAAATGTGGATAAGTGCTTCTCAGGCCTTATTTATACATTATAAAGAGGCTGAAAAGGATTCAAACTTAAATTTTCCCCTCTTTTGCAGGTCACCTTTAACAGATATCGAACAGTTTTCTGCCCAGTTCCCTTAAGCCTGAGGGACTATGGATCACAAAAAAATGTATCAAAAGGTAAAATGAGGAAGATAATCTAGAGTGCCATGAGGCAGATGAATTATGGGATCCTGATCTATTGTTGGAATCAACGTTCATCATTTAACTGTTGCTCTGCAAATTACTTTCAGTTTTCAGGCATTAAATCTGACTCCCTCTTCTTAACCGCCCTGTGTTTTAAATTACAAAACACTCCAAAATGACACAAAGGAAAAGACACATATGTCAAGTGACCTAGTTAAAAAAAGGAGTCATTATATACTCAAGAAATCTGGGGAAAAAAAGGACCCAGTACTCACTGAAATCAACACAAGGACTTCGATTAAACTTAAAGGACATTAGATTGGAGCCCATGTGCACATCCTACCAGGGCTTCGTTCATAACACAAACTAACATCTTCATCATTCAAAAACTGATACTCTCAACATGGTTACATTTTCAAAACAGATATCAGTTACTGCTTTATCCATAATAGCCACATCTGTATCAAAAACCTCAGCTCCCATTTTGAATAAGCAAAAAATTGCATAGCGCTGTGATCCTAGGAACAACAAGAGAAATGTTTAAGCAGAGATATTACATATCACAATGTGAAATGTTTCTGGCAAACAAAAGCTAAAATGAGTTTCACTGAAATTTCACTTGACTCTTTTAACATGGCATCATAAAATTCAAGTAATCATAAGTTATACATTCCAGAGTGTTACAGAAGGCAAACTACCAAAGCTGCTGCATCAATAGAGCAACATTTGCATTGGGAAAAATTAATTTCAACCTCTGCTCAAGTGTTTCTTTTTGTAACCATCTATGTTTGCTAATACTTTCAAAACCTTTGGTAAAAAAGTAATTGTGCTCACTAGCCTTCAATATTTAAAAGTAAAATATCTAATTACCAAATATTACATTGTATTATGAATACATTACATATAGGATTGGAGTATTTTGCCATGCTTACCCCTCTGACCTGCCCAAAAATCATAGTGAAATCCATGCCAGGTGACAGCTAGAACAGATTTAGGGTTAATTTCCACGACAGAGCAAAGTGCATGTATTTCAAGACTTTCCAATAATCCACTTGGTACCAGACAGAACTTTCATTTTAATTTCTCTCTGCTAAGAGATCTCCCTGTAAAGTCTCTTTCAGATGCAGGCAAAAGATACTATAATATGTTTAACAAGAAGTTTCTCTGCTATTAGTTCAATTACTAATGGCACTTTTCTATTTATTCCTCTGGAGTTTGTATCTCTCATTCTAGAGTCCCTCTAACCTCCATCTACAGCAGTTAGAGCCTCATTCAATTCAATTACATCTATGCTTCTCCACAGGAGTCCTTCCACAGTGACAACAGTTCCACCGAATACAACTAGTCATAACGACTCTCAAACTGCTACCACTATCAACTTCATGGTAAGGAAGTTGATAGTGGTAGTGCAATTAAAAACAAGATGATATATGCTTCTGAATACGCTTCTGAACGATTCCTGCAAAAGAATGACTGAAAACACAAGTCTAAGGTACATGCCCTGTATAACCTTTTGACAAACATTGCTTGCATATATTTGAAAAGAAAAAAACGACTAAATTCTTACATACTTTCTTTATTGTTGAAGTGATCAGAGTCTTTCCACATTAACGGTATTCAGATATCTAAAAAGAAAAGAAAAAACTAAATTACAAGACATGCGGTAGATGTGCGGTCCAAATAATATAGATTATATCTGGTCTGTTTTCCTGTTTATCTGTTTCTGGAGGAAAACTGAACCTACCATTCTGTCCAATAAAATAACACAACTAATGCAATCACTAGAGTTAAGCCAAAGGAAACTTCCTAGTTTAACTAGTCCAATATAAAGGGTCACTTTCCTTTAGAATGCTCTTTATTGCAGGATAGTTTATCATCTTATATAGGAGTACCTGGAATAGTATTTCAGAGTGGCTGCTGTAACATGAAACTCTGTGATAGTGAAGATGTTATAAAGAAAAGACTTAAGTAAAAACTTTGTGGGTTTGCACTAGGAACTTCTTGGCTTGCTGCCAGAAAGAAACTCCCATATTTTGAGAGAGACAGAGCAAGTGAGCATGCACTAGAGATCTTTGCATGACATATACTTATTCTTGTATTGTCAAACACTAAGCAAATACCATTTGTAATCATATACCAAGGTTATTACCTCAGCAGGCATAAAGATTACGTTCATAATTTTTTTGGTAAGGGGAAAGACTTATTTCAATATCATAACAGCACATTAAAACAATTAAGCTTCACTTAGTCTTCTAAGTCACTCCTGATATCAACTACTAATGCAGCTGGTATTTCTTTAAACAAACATCTTAGTTCATCTACGCAATCAGTACAATATTCAATTACACATCTTCAACTTCGACACCGCAGGCTTTAGCGCTATTACCTACAGATTATTCTTCAAAGGTCATATGACAACAACGCTATAATTTTAAGAAAGTTGGATTCTAAAGTACAATCAACAGCTTTCTGAAAAGACTGCAATATATTAAGTGGCATAGGATGGCAGCAGTGAACAGCATACAGTAAAAATCTTCAAACTTAGTTTTTTATACAGGAACTTTTCTAGCTGTGAAGCTGGTCTCCACATACGGAATACAGAAAAAAAGGCATAGATAATTTGCTTAGAGGCCATTAATACTGATACTTCTGCAACAAATCCCATTAGTCATGTATTCCCAGAAGGACTTTTCATCCAAGGCTGCACATTTGGGGGGTTATATTTGAACAACTGTATAAAATAGTCACTCCTGTTTCAGGAACTGTATTACATTCAACAAAGTCTGTGTTTAGAAAAGGTTAAGGTATAGTTCTACTATGAAAAGTAGCACTGTATTAAGCTATTTCAAACACAGTGCTTGCTAGTTCATCCATTTTAATTATATACATGAGACCTCTGAATTTTTTA